AGGGTGCTTGAGGCCTCTCATGTGGGGTGCTCCACTGAGAAGTTATGCAAAGATAAACACATATGCAAGTATGCATATATGAAATACTTACACGTATCTTCACACAGGTGTTCACCACCATAGGAGTGATGGGGGGGGGAGGCTTGAACGGGTGAGTAGGAAAAGAGAATGTAGAAGGTGAATGGCACCAAAATCTCTTGCACTGAAGAAGGAAGATAAGCAAAGGAACTCATATATTTGTGTGTGTGTGTGTGTGTGTGTGTGTGTGTGTGTGTGTGTGTGCATGCATGACTGTACTGATGTTTGAACTTGGCAGCAAGCTCTTGCTTGGCTTTTTCACTCAAAGCTGGTTCTCTGTCACTTGAGCCACTCTTCCACTTCCAGCTTTTTGTAGTTCCTTGGAGATGAGTCTCATGGTCTTTCACACCCAAGACTGGCTTTGAACTTCCATCCTCAAATCTCAGCTTCCTGAGTAGCTGGGATTACAGTCGTGTACTACCAGTGCCCAGCAATGCACACATTCTTTTTTTTTTTTTTTTTTAATTTTTTTTTGGGTCCGGTCGTGGGGCCTGAATTCTGGGTCTGGGCGCTGTCCCTCAGCTCTTTAGCTCAAGGCTAGCGCTCTACCACTTGAGCCACTGTGCACTTCCGGCTTTTTTCTTTTTGCTTATGTGGTGCTGAGGAATCGAACCCAGGGCCTCATGCATGCAAGGCAAGGGCTCTACCACTGAGCCACCTTCCCAGCCCCATGCACACATTCTTAAACTCAGAGATTTTCAGATACTACCAGGATATAAAGAATAAAAGTTTAGCATTTTCTTGGCACTTCCACACTAATCACTTCATTTTCAAACAGACTGGTGACCCAAACATTTATAGAACACTGTAATTTACAGAGGATCCAACAATTTTTGGTCTCATTCAATTTTCTCAACAATCCAATGAGACACACATAATACTCCTATATGTTCAGTACATGTTTGATTACTCCTATTTCACAGAACAAAAGTTGAGAAGAGTCTCTTTTGAAACACTAAGCATATCATTAAGTACCTGCTCAGAATCACAGTGTTAAGTAAAGTCTACTTGTGTCTCACCCTTGGACCTGCAGTAAGGTCATATTCTCAGCTGCCCTTACTACATAGCTCTGCATTCACATTTGCTGGTGGAGTGTGTGGCTTGTTAACGACCTATCATGTACCACACACACACTAGTGGAGGCTTGCGACAAGGAACGGTCTGCTGTCACTGGTGCCGGCACTGAGCATCTGCTCAGGGTGAAGATGCAGTCACATCCAAGTGAGCCTTGCCGCCGATGCTGAGCTATGCATGCCATGTGTCATTTGGTGGACCAAAGAGGATTTCGAATCTGGTTCAAAGTCGACTTAAAAAGCTATTAATAACCCAGGTGCTGGTGGCTGACATCTGTTATACAAGCTACTCAGGAGGCTGAGACCTGAGGATCATGGTTCAAAGCCAGCCCTGGCAAGAAAGTCCTTGAGACTCTTATCTCTGATTAAACACCAAAAGCCAAAAGTGGAGCTGTGGCTCAAGTGGTAGAGCACTGGGCTTGAGCAAAATAGCTCAGGGACAACACTCAGCCCCTGAGTTCAAGGCCTAGGACTGGAGATGTGGCTTGAGTGGTAGAGCACCAGCTGGGAGAAATAATGCTGAGAAAGAGCTTGAGGCCCTGAATTCAAGTCCTACACATTTAAACAGCTGTCAATAGTAAATTAGCTTAATTATAAGATTTTCTAGTGGAAATTTTAATAATTATAGGGACAATTTCAACTCATTTGTATTTTTTGTGCTACTGCATACATAATTGTAGTGTGAAATTTGTCTTTTGTGTGATTAGTCATTTGAAGTGGAGCAAGCTATAGAACTGAATGAATGTATTGATCTATTCCTTTGTGTATTTGAAACTTCTTGAGGCCCCCTCTGTCCTGGCACAAGACAGAATAGCACAGTGCCAGCCCCCCAGAAGCTGTCAGACCTGACGAACACAGTGCCCAAACCAGAAGTGTAAACACTGCTGCAGTGGAATCACAAAATGGTCTGAGAAGACTTTAAGGGAACCATCCATCCTTGCCAGTCCTGGAGCTAGAACTCAGGGCCTGGGCATTGTCCCTAAGTTTTTGTGCTCAAGGCTAGTGCTCTACCACATGATCCACAGCTCCACTTCCAGCTGTTTTTCTGCTTAATTGGAGATAAGAGTCTCACAGACTTTCTTGCCTGGGCTGGCTTTGAACCTCAATCCTCAGTTCTCAGCCTCCTGATTTCAGCTGGATTACCAGCGTGAGTCATTGGAGCCTGACTAGGAATTTAGTTTTTATTTCTACTTGATAGCTTCAGTTTTCTCAGGAAGATATTAGTGGAGAGCAAATGCATAGCTGCTCTATTTGCCACTGAGCAGTGAAACTCACGCCATTCTGTCTAGGGATCCAGTCCAAAAGGCTTTTAAAGTAAAAAGACAGAAGTGCATTAGAGGTAGAACCCAGAGTGGAGCACTGAGTATGTGAAAATGCTTTTAGAGAATTAGAATTACAGGTGGCGTGGAAACCTGGTGCATGTGGAAACATGGAGTCTCTTCAACTACATGGCTAATTGGTTAGAAGCCAAATGAAATTTCCTCCCGTATGCATATATACTTTGAGCTCGTTATCATCTGTTGTTAGGCTCTGCAAATATGTCCTATACACTATACTCTATTTATATGAGAAATAAAGCAGTAGGTATAAAAGAAAACGGCACATTAGGGCCATTTCCCCCAAAGGGTCTATGGCACCTTTGCTTTGCTCAGGTCTCCACATTTCTAAGACCTAGGGTTTTTTTTTTAACTTAGTTTTTTAAAGAGATGAGTTGATATTTAAGCATGTCTTTGAAGATTTAACTAACAAGTATGTGTGAGTTCATTCTTACTTACGAACATCAAAGACTATCAGAAGGTGTACCAGCGGGTTTCGTCATTCTCATGGCCTGAGAGAATGGTAGGGCTGTTTGGGTTAAGAATAGTTTCAAACCAGATACTGCGTATTTTATGTAACAAGTCTGCTACCTGTAATGATAAATCATGAAGTACCATTGCTGAGTGCCATTGCTGAGGAGCATGTGCTAGTACCTGTGACCCCAGGTTCCACTTCTAGTCAAGAGTACTGCTGGGGAGATTCTTGCAGGCATGTTATCTGGATATACACTCAGCTGACCACTCCTTCTCATGTATTCACATAGTTTTAGACTTTAGCCTAGACTTTGCACATCTTATCTTTCATTGTTTAGCTTTAGGAGAATTTACTTTTTTTTTCCTTTCTTGATATTTTCCTGCACATAACTTTTTTTTTTTTTTCACAACATGTCTGAGACCAAGCGTCCCTGGCTGCTACAGAGGTATAGCAGACAGGTACAGTTAAGAAACAACCTTAATTTAAGCAGGGGGAATGACAACACAGCACTTAGCAGCTATATTTTAGTCTAAATCCTGCTGTTCCTGCACATAACTTTATTTCATTCCAGGAACTGTTTCATGACATTTGGTTTTATATGCTCACTTCTCCCCAGCTAGATCTTTTATGTCTTTTTATTTAGGACATTGCTATTCCCACCCAGATATTCCTTTCTCATTGCTTTATATTTTAAAAGCAATTTTCATTAGGATGAATATGGTAGGCAGTTTTCTAAGCAGCAGGTTTCTTGCTTAAAAGAGTGTTCAAATGTTTCTACATAAAACATTTAAAAGTTTCTGTTGTGTGTGCACAATAAATGATTGAGTTTTGACAGTATCAAGAGAAGACTGTTGAGAGCAGACAAAACTCCTTGAGCTCTGGATATTGCACTTTGGTCAAGGGACACAAAGAAATAAAAAAGCAAAGGGCAGGCTCTACACTCCGACTCAGACCTGCAGTCCATTGAAGGATCGAGGTTCCAAGTCAGCCTGAGTAGAAAAGTCCTTGGGACCCTATCTCCAATTAACCACCACCAACAACAAAATAAAACCAAACCAAACAAAAAAAACCATGCTGGATGAGAGGCGTGGCTCATGTGGTAGAGCACCAGCCTTGAGCTGAGTGCCCCTAACCCTGAGGTGAAGCTCCAGTGCCAACACACACACACACACACACACACACACACACACACACACACACACACACACACACACACACACACACCACACACGTTCCTCACAATTTGAAGATTGAGAAGCCCAAGATGAAGTGCTGCTGCAGGCCTTCTGTCTGGTGAAGGCCTCACTGCTGGCTCTGTAGTTAGCTGTTTGCCTCTGTGTCTTCCTGAGGCAGATGGACAGCTCCAACGTAGTGACATTGTCTGAGGGCAAGACCCCCACGTGGCCCTGTCGGGAGACCCAGGCATCCCTGTGCCTGATGCGCTTACTGAGCCTTGCCATCTGCTGTCAAGTCAAAGGTGCCTCCTGTCCTTGAGCATCTCCAGCAGAGCCCAGACTAAAGCAATGCCCTGCCCAGCCTCCCAGCCCCTTCCACAGCCCTTCTTCCCTTCATCCTCAGCACAGCTCTTACGTTTATTTTACTTTTTCCATCAACCCGTCGCTCCTATTGTTTGCATGCTCTGAGCTCTATAGTTTATTATGTACTGTTACTTTATACAATAGGCACTTTAGGTAATTCGTGGACACCTGCTACGGTGTAGATGTAGTGAGAGGACTGCACTAGATGAGGAGGCAAGGAAGGAACACTGGCGATACAGCACCAAGAGGGCAGAGAAGAGCGTGGACCCTAGGGCGGGAGGCAGGATGTGATGTGATGGGCAGCCTCCTCCAGGCTGCTATGGCCTATGATCGTACGTCTTCATTTTTGCATTCGTGGTACTGCATCGCCTTCCATTTGTGCTTCTTGGAGTGTTCCCCCTCGTCCGTTCTCCAATTCCATCCTCACGAGGACAGGCCCCACTGAGTCACAAGGAGATGCTGGCCCCTCCCTTAGGGCTTTGGTCCAGGTCGATTGTTGTGTTTTCTCTTTTCTCCGCAGGACTTGGCCTTTTCGCTGGAGGAAAGGCAGCAGCTGAACATCCACGGGCTCCTGCCTCCCTGCTTCGTTTCCCAGGAGATCCAGGTCCTGAGGGTGGTGAAGAACTTCGAGCGCCTCAGCTCTGACTTTGACAGGTGACGCTTTCCTGAACAGGGGTTTGGCCAACTGTCCTTGTCCTTTCCCTTTCCCTGGGCCCTGATTTGAGAAGTTGAACATTGAGAATTTGCTGACACACAGTGTTGCTTAAGAAGTCTACAGTAACATTTGAATAAAACAAACAAACAAAAAAACTTTAACTGTATTCCCAGGGAGATCACCTTTTTCTTGGAATGAAATTGTTACAAACTTAATGATCAGGAGCTGGGAGGTGTGGCTCAAGTGGTAGAGCACTAGCTTTGAGTGATAAAGTCAAGGGAGAACACAAGGCTCCAAGTTCAAGCCCCAGTACTGGCAGCAAACCAATAAAAGATTAGTAAATGCCATACTACGCTGAGAAAACCAGGTGAAAGTGGCTTCTTATTACGTTGGAGTGGAGAGCTGGGCTTTGCAATCATCCAGGCCCGGGAGTGAGGGTGAGTCCATCAGAAATGCTGCTAGAGAGAAAAAGGCCTTTAGATACACACAGTAAGAAAAGTCCTTTTTCAGTTTATCTACCTTAATTATGTGTTTATTTATTTATTGGTACTGATCCTGGGGCTTGAACTCAGGGCCTGGGGAACTATCCCTGAGCTGCTTTTGCTCAAAGCTAAGTGCTCTACCACTTGAGCTACAATTCCACTTCTGGATTTGGGGTGGTTCATTGGAGATAAGAGTCTCAGACTTTCCTACTCAAGCTGGCTTTGAATGGTGATCCCACTGAGTGTCTTAACCTCTTGAGTAGCTAGGATTACAGGTGTGATTCACTAGCACCTGGCTACATTAGCTATTTTTAAAGTGATATATTGCTATACTGTTATATATATGTATATATATGTATATATATAGCTATACTAACTATCAGTTTGGTTTGTCATTAAAAGGATGAAGTTTTCTTTTTACTTAGTTTAAATTATGCTGTGATATTCTGTGGTTTTCATTTAAAAATAGGAATGGCTGGGTGTCAGTGGCTCACGCCTGTCATCCTAGCTACTCAGGAGGCTGAGATCTGAGGATCACGGTTCAAAGCCAGCCCAGGCAGGAAAGTCTGTGAGACAATCTCCAGTTAACCACCGGAAAACCACAAGTGGTGTGGTGCTGTGGCTCAAGTGGTAGAGCACTAGCCTTGAGCTGAAGAGCTCAGGGACTCAGGGACAGCTCCCGGGCCCAGAGTTCAAGCCCCATGACTGACCAAAAAAAAAAGAATGAAGTCTCTTGAAGCATTGAATGAAATGCTATTATTTCAGCAATGTTTATCATGTTTGATAGCAAGCAAGTTTATGTTTCTTCATTCTTTGACATGTTTTACAATATTTCCAATTTCTTTTTCTTTTCCTTTTTTCTTTTGAGGTTCTAGAGTTTGAGCTAGAATCCTATAGGAGCTTGGCAGGCAGACACTTACACTGAGTCATGCCTTCAGTCCTGTTTTTTTTTTTGTTATTTTTCTTTTCTTTTTTTCCTGGCTAATTTGAAGACAAGGTCTCACCTCCTGCGTGATTTGTGCCTGGGTGCAGTCTGCCATGTGTAGCTAGGATGGCAGTCACGCTCCACTAGGCACAGCTCTCTATTGAGAGAGGGGTCACTCAAACATTTCTTCCTGTGCTGTACTTGAACTGCCATGCTCCCCATTCAGTGTTGCAGGAGTGAGCCCAGCCACTAGAACCACGCCTTGTGTGTGTTTTTGACACAGAGTTTCACTACATGGTCCAGGCTGCCGGTGAACCGGCCATCCTTCCTGAGCTCGGTGGGTGATGGGATTACAGGTGTGTGCCCTCACACCTGCTTGAAGTTGTTCTATGATGTTTATATATTTTTTTCCAGCGCTAAGGATTTAACCAGGGCCTTGCTCATGCTAGGCCAACGCTCTGCCCTTGAGTTCTACCCCCAGCTCTTGGCGAGCCCAGGTCCTCGTGTAGGCTAGCAAACGTTTTGCCACTGCACTAGTTCCCTGGCCCTGGGTGATTCCCACTGAGTGTCTTCATGCTGGCCTTGAAATCCTGACCCGCTTGTTTCAGCCTCAGTGCTGAAATTCAGTGCCATGATTACAGGATACCAAACATGCCTGGCTTGAGGAGGTGTTGGTCAGCTAGAGAAGTATTTAAACTTGATCGAACGGTTTTAATTCAGGACTTGTTGGCTCTGTTCCTCATTGATATCCTGTTCACCAGGTATCTCCTCCTGATGGATCTTCAAGACAGAAACGAGAAGCTCTTCTATAGAGTGCTGCTGTCAGACATCGAGAAGTTCATGCCCATTGTGTACACCCCCACTGTGGGGCTAGCTTGCCAGCAGTATAGTTTGGCATTTCGGAAGCCAAGGTGTGTACACTTTTATTTATAAACTTACTTTACAGCTAGGGTTTTGCAGGAATTTAGGAAGATTGCATCTTGGAATTGGCATATAAAAGTTGAATATGTCTTATGGTAGATTATATGGCGTACCTCTCTTCCCCCAATTCCCTGTCATGGGGACTTGAACCTAGGGCTTCCACTTTTTCCTTTGCTCCCTCTGAGCTGAGTTTGTAGTCTTTATCTTTCTTAGCTTTCTTTGTTTTTGTTTTTTTGTATGAGTATACTTGTATTAAGGGGGCTTTCTTAATAGTAAATTATTCGGTGAATTAAAAGACAGACAGCGAGGACAGGGGATGGGAAAATGGGGGACAGGTTGAGGAGGGCGAGGAAGGTATTGTAGTAAAATATCCACAAATTTGGAAGCCAGGTAGTGTATCTGTTGTATCACTCTCTCAACTTTTCCAAAACAGTTTGAAATTTAACTAAAAGAATGCATTGTCCACAAAGGAAGTCAGGCCTGGAAAGTGATTTCTGTATTTTATCTTCTGTGTGCTCCTTTCGTGTCATGCTGCTTTTTAATGAGTGTCGGTTGAACTTTGGTTTTGAAGGTTTTCACTAGACTAATCATCATGGCTCTGCTCATAGTTATATAAAGAAAGCCATCTGAAATTGTGCTTGTGGCCTAAGTTTGGGCACTATATTTATTAGGAAGCGAAGTGTGACCATGCTAGGCCATACAGATGTCAGTTAGCATGTAGACTGCATTAGTCCGTTCTTCACTGTTATGAAAAGCCTGAAGCTTGGTCACTTTATAAAGAGAGATTGATTTCGCTTGTAGTTCTGGTGGTTCAGGGACGTGGGGCTAATATCCTGTCAACTCTGGTGAAGCCTCAGGGTGGGTTCATACAGCTGCGGCAGGAGCAGGTGATGGAGTGCATTGATTGAGCATAGGCCATACAGGACTTTGGACATTCTCTATCTTCCGAAAAGTTCCTTTACCACATGTCACCACCCTAAGCACATCTGCTGTGCTCTGCCTCTCTTTTTTTTTTGGTACTAGTCAACTTCAGCTTCAACTCAGGGCCTGGCTGCTGTCCCTAAGCTTTTTGTGCTCATGGTTAGCACTCTTATCACCTGAGCCACTGTGCCACTTCTGGCTTTTTGCTGATTAATCGGAGATAAGCATCTCACGGGTTTTCCTGCTCACGTTCACGCTGGCTTTGCATGTTGACTCTCAGATGTCAGCCTCCTGAGTAGCCAGGACGGCAGGCGTGAGCCACTGGTGCCCAGCTCGTGCCTTTAAGCTCGGACCGAGTCTCAGGATGGAAACTCTGGGACAAATCACGTCCCAGTCAATAATGTAGATTATTTTTACTTTTAAGCTAAATTAATGCGTGTGTTTTGAACTTTTTCGACTTCAATAGAGGTTGTTCCAAAATATCAGCCAGAAAGTGATTGGGAAAATTGATTAGAACTTTTTATAGTATGAATTTGGTGGGTGCACTTGGGAGGGAAAATTAAGGGTTAACCATACTCTTAGTACTTTTCTCATCATGCTTTTTCATATAGACATATGATGTAAATAGCATAAGTTCTATATACATGTCTACTTATATATGTTATATACACACATATATGCACACTTTCCTGTGGCCAGAATTTTACTTTTTATTTTGAATATGCTATTAAAATCTGCCTAGGTAAGCAAAAATGAATTCTTACGTGAATAACTCCTCTTGACATTTCCTTCCCAAAGATAAATGCTGGCACACCTGCTTGTGGGGTTTGCATGGAATTTCCTGTCTCTGGCATTGATGTTCTTGTGGGGTTCTCCAGATGGAAAGGATGATGGGCGCTGAGATTGTTGCTGAGCTCATGGAGGTTTTGGTGTTCTCATGTGCGCACAGCATTTTAATTCTTTGAGAATTTCCAGTGTTTGGCAGTTCAGTTTGCTTTGGACACTGCATTTAATTGTGGTTAATTTTTACATGGATTCATGGTTTGGGATGCTAGGGACAATTCTTTTTGTATATTTCTGAAATTTCTGAAAAGAATGAGCTACTCAGATTCCTTTGTGAAACTTTTCCTATTAGGCTTCATGCGGATTAACAATACAGAACAGCTAAAGCAGACTTCCATATTCCCTTTGGAAATATTTCTGCCTACTATATTTTTCCACATGTTCCAAAAACCATCTCTCTCTCTCTTTTGAGTTCTTAATATTGATATATTATTTTACCACAATATTAATAACACAATTGATGACATTTCTACTTGTGATGTTTCTAATAGTCTATCAAAGTCAGCTTCATTTCTTCTGTTAGTATCTACTATTTGGTCTCAATTAGTAACAATCTAAAATGAATAGTTGCTTCTTGTTGTTGTTTTATTTGTTTGTTTATTGAGCTGAGGGGTTCCATAAATATCCCAGCCTAGCCTTAAGAATCATCATACTTTTGCCTTTGCCTTCCCAGGGCTGGAAAGGCTGGGATTATATTTATGCACCACAACACCTAGCCCTACCCCAAAAGACCATTTTAAAATAAATTATTCCAGCCAGGTGCTGGTGGTTTGTACTACTCAATAGGCTGAGATTTGAGGATTATGGTTCAAAGTCAGCTTGGCCAAGAAAGTCTGTGACACTCTTACCTCCAATGAACCACCAAAAAGCCATGAGCTGCGGCTCAAGTGAGCGCACTAGCCTTGAACAAAAAAACCTCAGGGACAGCATCCAGACCATGAGTTCAAGCCCCAGGACCAGCACATACACACCAAAACAATTAATTAAAATGAACTATTTTAGTATTGCTCATGCTACTTAGGATGAGTGTCTGTTATTTCCTGTTTCATAGGCATTGTAACTTGCTATGCTTTTATTCATTCACATAGGAAAACACAAAGCATTTAATATACTTTTTATTTCTCTTACTGGGTAACTGTTCTGACAGATAATTTTTTTTTTTTGGGTCCGGTCGTGGGGCCTGAACTCTGGGCCTGGGCACTGTCCCTCAGCTCTTCAGCTCAAGGCTTGCGCTCTACCACTTGAGCCACAGCACCACTTCTGGCTTTTTTTCTTTTTGCTTATGTGGTGCTGAGGAATCGAACCTAGGGCCTCATGCATGCAAGGCAAGCGCTCTACCATTGAGTCACCTTCCCAGCCCCCAGATAATTTCTTCTAAATAGACTCACACCAAGAAATCAGGCTATGAAAATGGAAAATTTTGATTGTGTAAAACCTTTGAACTTATACTATACATGTTTAAATGACTTTTAAAGAGTCACTGATGTGATTTTGAGAAACTAATATAATACTAATAGTTTAGTGATAACAATTTTTAAGAAAATACAATAAGCTCTTCCAAAGTATGATCAGACTAATAATTTTAATTCACCAAAAATTAAGTGGAAAAATGTTAAGTGCTGAAATTTTTGGATAAAATCAGAACAAAGCAAAATTAAACAGAGATCTGTCCTACATAGTGTCTCAGAATAATTTCTATTTTCAAAGATTTTTTTCTGTGGATGGAGATTAGGTATAATACAGATAACATAACTGGCATAATTGTTGACACCAAGTAGAGATTCTTTTTTAATTTTTAATTGTCCTGGGGCTTAAACTTAAGACATGGACACTGTTCCTGAGCTTCTTTGCTCAAGACTAGTACTTTTTTTTTTTTTTTGAGGTCTGGGCCTGGGCGCTGTCCCTCAGCTCTTCAGCTCAAGGCTAGCGCTCTACCACTTGAGCCACAGGGCCACTTGCGGCTTTTCTCTTTTTGCTTATGTGGTGCTGAGGAATCGAACCCAGGGCCTCATGCATGCAAGGCAAGTGCTCTACCACTGAGCCACCTTCCCATCCCCTCAAAACTAGTTCTCTATCACTTGAGCCACAGCTCCATTTTCATCTCAAGGACTTTCTTTCCTGGGCTGTCTGAATCACGATCCTCAGATCTCAGCTTCCTGAGGAGCTAGGATTTCAGGTGTGAGCCACTGGTACCTGATATGATTCTTTAAATATAGAATTTTTTTGTTGTTGTTGTGGGGCTTGAACTTGGGGCCTGGGCAGTGTTCCTGAGTTCTTTTGCTCAAGGGTAGCTCTCTATCACTTTGAGCATAGCTCCACTTCCTAGAATTCCTTCTTATGTTTTGGTAGTACTTGAGTTTGAACTCAGGGCTTGTACTTGTTAGGCAGGTGGTCTACCACTTGAGCCACACCTCAAGCTGTTTTTTGCTTTCTTTATTTCTCAGATAGGGCTTTGCATTTTTATTTGGGATAGCCTTTGACCATAGTGCAGTTGATCAGCTAGTGTTCTATCTCCTCCAGCCTGGCCTTTTTTTTTTAAATTATGTTTTTTTATTGTGAAAATACTGTACAGAGGGGTTACAATTACATGGGCAAGATAATGAGTACATTTCTTATCAAGCATTGTAGCCTCCTCCTTTGTTTCCCCTTTCCATCCCTTCCCATCCTCCCCCAGCCCCCCTCAATCCTCCCCCCCCCCACGCCCCACCTCCACCAAAGTTGTAAAGTTCGTTTTCGACATAATGACTTGTACATCTCATTGTTGCAATGGGTCCACCTGTATCCCTATTTAAACGATTTGTTTTTCTCCTTGCCCTCCACAAATTATACCGACATGAAATACAGTGAAAGCAGGGGTTATACTGTGGGGGAGGGACCAGCCTGGCCTTTTGCTGGTTATTTTGGAGATGGTCTTTTCTGCCTTGGCTGACTTTGAACTGTGATCTTGTAGATTTTAGCCTCCTGAATAGCTAGGAGTATAGATATGAGCTGCTGGTGCCCTTAGTTAGAGATAATTAGAAAAAAAATTATTGTCATTTATTATGGAGATATCATGTAGGTGATGATTTCCTGAATGGCTATTTCAAATTAGTTTTTTTTTGAGCAGGATAAATCTTAAATTTATGAAAAATATATATGATACTAAGAAGAATGCAGTAGAGTCTTCTATATCCTCAACACTGGGACACTGGGAATTCAGCGTGTGCCCAGAAGTTACTTAAAATTC